CCATGCTGGGTGCTTTGAGCACATCGCAGTCTAACTTTGAACCAGGAGCCCCGCAGTGCAGGGGCCTCGCCACACACATCCTTTTAGGGAACGCCCTGCCTGGGGAGTCCAGGATGGTGCAGCGCCCTGGGGCCAGTGAGGCCTGGGTGTGTTGCCCCTGGAGGCCTGCAGACCTCATTGCAGGCAGTGGTGACCAGCACCTGGGGACGAGAGAGCCCTCTGGAGAGAGTCATTTGATAGGAGTTGTGAACTTTTGACCAGGCCACAGTTTGCAGTGACCCTGTAGGGAGGCAGCTGGGGATACGCTCTGAGAAACTAAATATACCAATGGGCAATGGCCAGAGCATGTATAAAAACAGAATGCTGACCCACATCCTGCAGCAACCAACCCACCATCTTCAGTATCCAGCCCAGGAAAGTGCCTCATACAAAGTCAGGCCACTACCTCTAGCGACAATCCAAGAAGCCCAACAATGCCAAAACCACTATCAATACCAACACCAATAACCCCTGTCACAATGAGTCCCAAATAGCCAGCACTTGATTAATACTGAAAGCTTTCTTAGTTTTTGTCCCCAATCCCAACTTAGAAACCCAGAGAAAGCCAAACATGCGCCCCTAACCACTCACACAGGATGCCCGCTCCTGGTGAGCCGCCACCAGCTCCCCCAGGCCCACAGGGCACCCCTGCAGTCCGGGCACCCCTGCAGTCCGGGCACCCCTGCAGTCAGGACACCCCTGCTGTCTGGGATCATCTTCCTTCTCCCTGAAGCACATCCATTAGGCAATCCATCAGGGAGGGATATTAGCGATACCATTTGTTTGAAAATGTCTCTATTCTTTTTTTTTTTTTGAAAGATGACCAGTAAGGGGCTCTTAACCCTTGACTTGGTGTTGTCAGCACTACGCTCTCCTGAGTGAGCCAACCAGCCATCCCTATATGGGATCCGAACTCGTGGACTTGGTGTTATCAGCACCGCACTCTCCCGAGTGAGCCACGGGCCGGCCCTGAAAATGTCTC